TAGAGCTAAAGTCAGATTTAGAGTGCAGGCTAAAAAAAAAAAAAAAACAAACGCACAGGAAACACAACACCAGGTGGACGCATGGTAAATGGTAAATGCTTAGACGTTTCAACCAATTTTAAGCCTTATTATCAAAAGTTTAGAGGGGCAGCCCTGTGGTGGAAAGGGCTTACTTAGCAAGTGGTTAGCATAAGTTTAATCCCAAGCATTGCAAAGATCAAAACAGTTCTCTATAAAGCAAAAAGTATTTTGATATATATCATACACTGTGATATTTACTGTATAAAAGAAAAAATCTTAGAAAATGGCAGCATAGAAATGGCGAAGGGAGGAAAGTGTGCTGCTGTATGTGATGTGATCCAGCTGAAAGCAGACTGGGAGTGAAACCAAAAGTGCTGAGTCTACCACAACCTCCAACAATAACATAACAGAGACAGCTAGTAAGACTGTAACAGAAGAAATACGGAACCAGAAATATGAACAAGTCACAAAAGAGGTAGGCAAAGAGAAATGCAAAAAACAGTAACGAAAAATCAGCCAGACAACTATGTCAATAAATGAATTAAATGAAGATAACTAAACATTACATTTCATTAAGTCTTATGCTATTAGTGAATAAAAAAAAATAAACTACATGCTAAAATGAATCTGCTTATTTATAATTTAAATAGATAAAAGTAAAATGTTAAGACATCCTACACACACACACACACACACACACACACACACACAATATACTGTATACTTAATAAAAAAAAAAAAAAAAAAACAAGAAACAATCCCATGGGTTAAGGAGAAAATTCACCACGACATTAACAGTCCTAAATTTAAATGTATGTACAGCAGATGGTGCAACTTCAAAATACAGAAAGTGGGGCTGGGAAAACACCGGCCTTACACATGTAAAGCTCTGACTTTGAATAGGATCACTGAAAACAATTAAAAAATAAACAAAACCAAAAAAGAAACACAAAATTACAAAGATGTTTACATCGGTGGCTGACGACTGCAACAACTGCGTGTCAGTAACTGATAGAACCAGTGCACAGGAGAATGCTGACGACATCAACTGCACCATCTGCCATCTTAGCAGAACATGTGTCCCATATCCATACAAGCATCTTGGTAAAAACATGTGATGGAGGAAAAGCAGAATCTGTGTTTTCTTCTTCTCCCCCCATCCCTAGTAATTTAATTTTTAAACTTTATTATTAAAAATTTCACACAAAAAAGTCACACAACAAAATTAACCAGATGCAAAGATAGGTCAATAAACTTTTATATTCTGAACAGCCATTCTGTTCTTCCTCATACCCTAATATTTAGCTGTTCTTTTTCTGTTTTCTATGTTACATAAATATAATATTTAAAATATTTTTAATTTAAAATGCATTTTAAAACAAACAAACAAAAACACACCTAACAGTCCCTAGCACAGCGGTTCTCAATCTTCCTAATGCTGCAACCCTCTTGTTGTGGTGACCCCAGCCAGAAAATTAATTTTCATTGCCACTTCATAACTGTAATTTTGCTAGTTATGAATAATAATCTAGTTGTAAATAATAATCTGTGTTTTCCAATGATCTTAAGCGATCCCTGTGAAAGGGTGGTTCAACCTCCAACCTGCAACCCACAGGTTAAGAACCACTGTCCTAGTTAAAACTTTGGGCTTAATTAAGCAATATATTAGTAACAACAACAACAAAGGTCTTACAACAATAATCATAGCTTTAATGTAAAGAAACTAGAAAAGCCAAGTAAACTAAGAAGCAGGCAAATGGTGAAATAATCAAATGGGGCTAATGACATAGAACAGGGGCAGATCACTTCCCAAGCCCATGGAAGACATTAGGTTCAAGCCACAGCATCCCAACACACTAAACACACACACACACACAGACACACACACACACACACACACACACATAAGATATACATGCAGGCAAGAAACTCATACACATAAAATAAATAATTATAAAAATTAAGAGAAGTAAAGAAAAGAAAAGAAGCTCTGAGGCTGGACTGTTAGTGTATACCTATTATCCAAGGCCTCAGGAGGCCAGGGGGAGGAAGTTGAGTATGGGGGCAAGACAGCCTGTATAGAAAAACCCAGCCTCAAACAGCAGGAAGCGGTATGCTGACAAAGTCATACTAGCAAGCACCCCACCAGAAAAATAGCCCAGCTTAAGGGTCTTAAAATGATCAGAATCTTCTATGACTCAAGTGGCATGTCCCTTTCTGCAAAGGGGAGTAAGATACAGTTCCAAAACAGAGGACCTGCTCTTTTAAGTTTGTTCCTATGTTTTACAATTAGTTCACTTTTTATTTGTCTTGTTTTGTTTTGTTTTTGCAGAGAATGGTTTACATCTGGTTTTAAGGTACTAAATGTGTCATATCTATTTTGCCGCAAACATTTAGAAAAAGAAAGAGACAGGCAGGTCTTTGTGAGTTCAAGGCCAGCCTGGTTACCAGTCAATTCTAGTTACTCAGAGATACAAAGTGAAATCCTATCAAAAACATTTTTATTAGAAAAAAGGCATTAATTATAAACTAATATATGAAATAATAAACACAAAGTTTGTTAGTAACAATGCTAACTTAAAGATGAAACACCCAGTTGTGCGTAAGTTACAAGTTTTAATTTTTATTATAATTACTTATTATATAGAAGGGTCTGCATGGGGCACAGCTCACATGTGAAGGTCAGAGGACAGGTTGTCCCCTTTCACGATGTGTGTCATGGGGACTGAATGAGGTCAGCAGGCTTGGGAACAAGTGCCTTTTATTTACTGAGCCATCTCACTAATCCAAGTTACACACTTTAAAGACATAAAGACCCCATAAATTTTTTAATTTTTATACTTTATTTCATAATTTATATTTCCAAAATACCAGACGTTTTATCGACTTTGTTAAACTGCTACTATTGCCAGAAATTGTCAGAGTATTGTTGCCCTACTCAATTGTGCTATATGAACCCAGAAATGCGAAACTGAAGGGTGTTGTGGTAAGGTTGTTCCTGACTATGTAAGACTGTCTGAAAATACTGGCTCCCTACTAGACAAGCGGAGAACTTATAAAAGCTATGAGTCCATGGTAAATCATCTGTTCATAGAAACTGACATTTTTGTTCTCATATTTCCTGTAATAAGCTTTAAACTTCTAATTTCTTTACATACATAAAGTTCCATTTTTGAAGCTTCTTTCCTTGTACAATTTCTATCCTCACAAGTGGAATACTTGGTTATCTTACTTGTAGGACCATGTTTATTCTGAACATATGGAGACCAGTAGACAGGCAAGGCATTTCTTCATGGACACACTGCTTGGGCTCTAGAGTGTTCTCCAGTACTGCCAACAGCAATTTGATGTGACCATCTGAACACTGCTAAGGAAAGCCATTCTTTACACAGAAGTTTCCTCACAGGACTGAGAAGCCCCTTCTGTAGGTTAGTAATTCCACAATGCATCCTGACCCTTGCCTTTTAAAGAAACATTTCCTTCCTTCTTTCCAGCTCTAATTATTTTTATTTATTTCCCATGAGTGGTGTTAGGAATGAAATGCAGGACCCCACACATGCCAAGCAAGAGCCCTGCCTCTGAACCATACCCCTCCTCCTGTTCTTATGAAACAGTACTTCATGGACAGGGTGTAGTCAAGGGATGATAGTAAGCTGAAGTTTATAGTTCTATATGCCAAAAAAAAAAAAAAGAGTCCCTGACCATTTACTATTTCCAATTTTGTAGTGTAGAGTCATGATAAAGGTGGAACACAGTTCACAGAGGCATACTGAGGTATACAAGCATCTCACAAGGATCATTATCAGTAATGTGAAGTGGATACTGTCTATATGGAGTCAATGAACATTCACAGCATTTCAGAATGCTCATGAGATTCAAAGAAGCTGTGAAGGACCTAATATATATTGTAGCGTCATGTACTAGGAACTCAAAATATGTAAGTTTGATTGAAGATTTGAGCAAAGTGTTTAAATGGAAAGTTATTTTAAATGCTTAGTTACAGGAATGGGAAGAAAATCACCATATTTTCCATGATCAACAATATAACATAAAAGTGAAATACCAGTCATTTTCCATGTCATATGTACTTTTATCTTCTTATAGGTATCAAAAAAAAGTATTTGGCACAAAAAAAAAATGATGCTTCAGATAAAAATAAGGAAATCCAGAAATGGCTAGATTAGACAAAATAATTAGATAAAATTTCTATGTAAATTGCTGAATTTATCAAAATTTCAAATTAAAAATTTTACATAAAGAGCTGGAGAGATAACTCATTAGGTAAAGAACTTGGCACATAAGCATGAGAATGTGAGTTCAGATTTCCAGCACCCATGTGAAAAGCTTTGTGTGGCAGCTCACAGTGATTACCTCATGGGTGAGAGACAGACAAGCAGTTCCCCAGAGCTCACCGCCCAGCCAAGCCAACATCATCAGTGAGCTTCAGGCTCAGTGAAAGTGAAGGCAGAATACATGTGACTTCAGTTTCTACCCCCATAAACATGTACACATATGAAAATGTATGCAAGCATTAAAAACTCAAAGTCAGTATCTCTATGATATCTGAAGGCAGAAAGGACTTCTACAACTGATAAAGACAGGCACGTGACACATCTGGAGCCCACAGGCCGGAGAACCAGTATGGCCCAGAATGCACTGCAAACCCAGAATAGCCTGAGTCAAATGTGACGCAGAGTCTCAAAAAGTAAACAAAAACCAACAGAAAAATGCACATCACAATAAAACAAAAGGAACACAACTGACAGCAATCAGTTTTGTGGGAGATAATGTTATGTTACAAGTAACAAAGAGAATCCAAATAAGACCATAGAGATAATACTTTGTCAAATACTAAAACTGGTTTTCTGTAAATTTTCCAATATAATGCAAACACCAAAGCAAAACAGAAAATATCACTCCATTATTAAAGTCTTTGCAGGTAAGTCTCTGCTGTGTAGACTACCATAGCGACAGCTTACCTTTTTGTCGTATACATCTTGCCAGTTTACTCCAGAAAAGAAACTATGCCTCATGATTTCTTTTGCATCATCTGGCCCTCCTCCAAGGCTGTGAATATAAAAAAAAAATTAAATGAATGTGAAACATTTACATGACTCAAATAATAAAAAGTTTTGTACAGACAAAATTTGGTGTTTAAATAATTTTTTTGAAGTGCATAGCCAAAAAAATAGAAAGTAACTTTAACAGCTAAATTTCCACACATGCTACTAAGTAAGAACTACCCTTGAGGAAGGTAAAAGAAAGGCTTTCCTAAGTGGCCTGAAGAGGTGGAGAATAGAGGGGTAATGAACAAGAGACCAAAGCTCCAACTGTGAAGTGAAGACAATGCAGCCCCTCTGGGGTTACAAGATACATGGATAGCACCATGTATAAGAAGAGAAGTGATTACCACTGTTCCTTTTTGAATAACTGAGTCAAAATGTTCCTTTATTAAAGTACATTATTATTAAAGTAAACAGGATCAGAAAAAGATCTGTGATCACAGTATAGTTAATCCCAGTACTGAGAAGGCTGAGCAGATGCATCTCTGAGTTTGAGGCAAGCCTGTTCTACACAATAGGTTCAAAGCCAACCTATCTACAAAGTGAGTTCAGGGACAGCCAGGGCTACAGAGATAGACCGAGACTGTGTCTCAAGAAAGATAAAACAAACAAACAAACAAACAAACAAACCACTATCTCTGGAGAGCACAGTCCCAAGTAAAAACTCATAGACTATTTTTCATATCTCAAAAGAATGGCACAGAAACGATATTATTATCAATAAAATATCATTACAGTTCAAACTGCTATACAGTTCAGAATATAAAAACACACCCTAGGTTTTAAAATTATTTTTATTTAAACAATACATGACTTGATTTTAAAAAAAATAAGTATTTTTTAGCCTCTGTGGTTCAATTTAGTATATACTCATTAAAAAGAAAATATATATGAAAAAATAAGAACGGAAAGAAGGGGTAAAAAGAAAACTAGAGAAAAACAAGAAGAGAAAAAGAAGAGATAAACATACTGAAATTAAATCTAACATAGAGAGCTTTGTTTGGCCTTGCTCGTGCCCAGGTACATATGCATGACTGATTTTATTATAATCTTTACTGTTATAAGGGATGCAAAGCCTAATATATACAAAGAAAAGTACACAATGTTTCCACTATAAATCAGCCATAAATTTCTCACAGAAAGCCCTAACCTTCTGCTCAATTCCAAATTCAACTATAAATGAGTATGATTTCTAACTATTTCTGACATGGGTGCTCTTTGTTTATGTTAAATCACAGAAGGAGGTGACCAGAGAAATAGCAAACTTGAGTGCTGATTGACGAGACACTCTCTACCATGAAGAACACTTCATCTACATCTCCTGGCATTGACAATGTCACAGAAAACAAAAGCTCTTCAGCTAAGCTGTGCTATTAACCTTTCCTCCATCTATGTCTCAAATCTAAAGAATCAAAGCAACAATCAAACACTGGCTTATAGGACTGGACAATTTTGTTAGTAGAACGATACCCTCAAGGCCAATTTCAAAACACCATAGTAGAAAATCAAATCACTACATAATATTTCCACATGAATATAAATTCAGAAACAAGATAACTAACATGGAACAAAATCAATAGAGTGGTAAGTTGTGACTTCACTCTCACTATTCTTAATTTGCATAATTTGATTTAAAAAATTAATGACTGCTGAATAATATGTCTAGCTCAAAACATCTGTGAAAATTTAAAAACTAGTTCTGGTGAACCGATACATACCAATATTAACACATTACTAGAGAGAGAGAAAAAACAAGCAGGTAGAGAAAGTAAATAAGGACCAATTCTCTGGAATTGTGCCTATGCAGTGTAAGAGAGATGTGTCCGAGAAGGGCCTAGATCTTCTGACATAGTCAGGATGAAACCTGAAGCAGTCAATGGATCCATGAATGAAGAGCCCACTTCAGGATCTACAGAGAATTCTTCCTTCAAGTAAGCTTCACTCCAGAGGTGGACACTAGATAGTATAATATTTATAGCATGCTATAAGCCTCATATCTGGAGGCTTCAGTCTGGTGATTTTATTTAAGAGTTAGCATCAGTCTCTATAGTCATTGCTCTCCAGTTATGCTGTCTAACCCCTGGTATGCTGCCAACTCGTGGGAGGGCAGACTAAATTAACAAAGTCACTGTTAGCGTTGCTTAAGACACAAGAAAAGTGGAAATACCAAAGTATTTATTTCTAAAAAGAATTTTCAAAGTATAAATTAAACTAGTATGCATAAAAAAATCAGAACTCTAGGTTCTTACACACAGTTACCATTTGCTTATAGTTTACAATATTGTTTGCATTTAATGTATACTTGAGAGGGTACATTTAGTAAAAGAGCAACATTCTACAAGTTCAAAAAATATATCAATGTGGATTCGGTTAATCATTTTGTGTAACCTCAGTTCTTTTGCAATATATTGGCTTAGGACATAGCTGGCATGTTTCTTAAAATACATAAAATACTGCCTGTAAATTCTGTGCAGTGCCTGAGATTACAGTCGTAGATTGCATTTTAGAAGCTGAAATACTTTATTTAGGACAGCTTCTTCAAAGTGTGAAGCTGTCAACATTTCAATGTTGATGGTTCCCTAACATAAAACTTAAAGACTTCAAAATGATGTCAAAATACACTTTGAACTGAGTTATTATTAAACTCCAATATCAGAATGCCAAAGAAACCATTACCTCTAATGTGTTTTTAACTACAAAGAATGTCATAGAACTCCCATTTCCTATAGTATTGCGCCCAGCATGAGGGGATGCTTTTCACGTAAGTTGCACTGGAGGATAAACGAAAGACATGAGGAAGGACCATAGAGTAACAGAGAATAAGGAATAAAGCCCTATGGTGGCTGATCCTTTGATAGAACTGAAAGAAATTCAGTAAAGAATATCAGAAAAATTCAGGCATCCATCACTTAAAGTACCTCAATGAAAAAACATAAATCACATTATTTGCTTATGTGTTCAAAGCCTCCTGGAAGCTTTTGCTGGCTTTATTTTCTTCCTAGAGCTAAACTGTTTTATTTCCCGGGTTTCTGTCCCAGGCTTCGTCTTTTCATACTCTACTTTCTGTACTAGTTTCCTGCCTTTCGTTACCTCCTAGATGCCAGTGGCCACCCAAATCTACAGTTGGCTGTGACTCTTTTAAGCACTGACTGCATTTCTTCCAGATCCTTACTTAAGACTTTCATCTAGATTTGCCAAAGAAATCTCAGACTTGGTTTATCTAGTTACTCTCAGCACCCACCACTACAAGCCTCTGTCTTTGCTTTTGCTCCATAAACTAATCACCCAATATGGGCAGATTCCCCATACCAACTTCCTTATCATTTCTACTTACTCATTCTCAAAACTGTATTCATTTTTTTAACCTTTGCTTCAAAAAGACCCAAATTTCTTATATAGAAATTTCTGTCCATTGTTTTTGTTTTTTAGATACAATCTCCCTATGTTGCTCAGGTTGGCCTGAAACCCTAAATCCTTCTGCCTCAAGCATCCTAAGCGATGTATTTGCCATGCAGACTTTGTAAAGTGCTCTGTCTTCCTGCCCTTTACTTTTCTAGCCACAGCTGCCAAGTTTGCCTTCTTATCATACATATCTCATTATACCATCTACCTCTTTAAAGCATTTTTCTGGTTTTTCATTCTTCCCTGAATAAAGGTTATTTTCTAAGAAATGACCTAATACACCTGCTTCATCTTTGAATGTCACCTAACTCATACTCTACGGTCTAGTCACTGAATTCTCAAATCCATGATCATGTGCAATTTTAGCTATATTTTAAATGTAAATGATGCCTGAATGGCAGTGCAAATTCTAAGGCCTCCAGATGGCCAGTTCAGGTTCTCAAAGTCCCCTATGCTGCACTAATGATTTCAAAAGCATTTGTACAGTTTGGCCTGAGAATATGCAAGTGTAGGTTTTGTGCCCTTTGTTATCCTATAAATGGCTAAGAAAAAAAAAAAAAAAACTTGTTCATACTATTCATATTTGCATTCTCCAGTATTCTGAGGTAGCAGTATAGAGTCTTGATATATGAACTTTATAAGCCTGCATCATATTTTCAATATCTGAGAGGAGAAAATATGGCGCCCTAACATTCTTGAAATTTACCTGACATATATTCAAAAGTTCCCAAAAACCTACTATGTGCTATTTGCAGAATGGGAATAAGCCAATACAATGAGACAGGAAAAACACAAGCAAGACATTGTTTAACCAGCCACTTACAGAGACAACCACAGAAGAAACAGTGACCAAAGTTATATGGAAAAGTCAGAATAACATGGGACAAAAATTCACTGCCCTTGAAACCAAGTCAAAGATTAGATTCTCCTCTACCCAAAAAGATAAAATGGCAGGCATAGCTCTGCTTAAAGACAACCTTTCAGCAAACACTGCTCATTATATAACTGTGAAATAATAATTTTAAATGCAACACATCTCAAAACCAATACTGAAAAGCTGGTACACTGTTTAAAGATACATAAGAAACACTATGCATACACCAAGAAAATAGTTTTCTACTCTTGTTCCACAAGAACTTTCAGTGAGACCATGAACAAAACACTTTCTGTACATGAAATGCTTATATTATCTACTTGATCCACCCTGGAAAGACACTAAAAAGTAAATTAAATCAAAGAAAAGTATGTTTGGGGAGACAAAAACCATTTTACAAGCCTAAGGAAACACTCCGGTCACTAAGATCACTCAATATGATCTTTGAATGGCTCTCAGAAAACACAGTGCTGGTAAAACTTTTTACCAGGTGGCTATTTCTGTGAACAGATGCCTGGAAATCAGTGAACTTTAAAGTAAGTTCTGATACTTAGGGAAAGAGGACAGCTTCTCTCTCTCTCTCTCTCTCTCTCTCTCTCTCATTCTTTCTCTTGCTCTCTCATGGGGAGAGGGAGAGGACACACACACACTGTCTGACATTATGAGGCATTTTATAAACAGAAACTATTAACATGTAATTTGTGAGTGTGTTTTCCATTAATACATAAACTGAACAAAAGACAGTGACTAAGCAGTAAAGAATTTAGGAGAGTTTAGGTCATAACTAAAACATTTCTGTAAAAACAAAATTACAGTGTTTTGCTTTTATAATCATCTTTTCAGCTATACGTGGAAAATTTTTAAATAATAAAAATAGAAATGTTAACCTAGATTAGTGGGAGGAGGAGAAAATGGAAATAGGCCTTTTCTTTTTATGATGTGAGTAGAAATAAAAAGCCCTAGAAACTGAAAGAAGAAAAGGGAACCGCCCACCCTTAAAAGATCAAGATTTAGATAATTAAGAAATTGTTTATTCATAATACAAATAAAGAATTTCTCAAACATCCTTATTTGGTAAGTTTGTATAATACTTTCAAGTTAGGAAAGAGTTGATGAATTTTTAAACTATTCTACATTATGCACTTATAAGTCAGTATCTCAGTAGGAAAGTTTTTTTTTTTAACAGCAAATAAAATGCTTCCTGATGTCAGTTATATTTGAATTAATTTTCACAAGAGAAACTAACCAAAGTCATCAGTACCTTATGAATTGCTATTGAAGCTTACCGTTTATTTGGATCCTTTATCAAGAGCCCTGAAAGCAATGATTTTGCATCTGAAGAGAGTGTTCGGGGAAATTTAATGTCTTCCATTAATATTAGTTCAAAAAGTTTCTCATGATCCTGATTGTAGAAAGGCAACCTCCCACACATCATTTCATACATGACAACACCCAGGCCCCACCAGTCTACTGCTCGGCCATAGTCATTATCTTCTAACACCTAGAAGTGAAACCAGCAAAAGTTATAGATTATTACATTATTATTACTTCTGTTGTTGTTATTGTTATCACTGTTATTATTTTGAGATAGACTCACTATTAGCTCTGGTTGGCCTGGAACTTGCTATATAGACTAAGGTGTCTTCAAATTCATAAGAGACCTGGCTGTCTGCCTCTGGAGTGTCATGCCCAGTACATGTACATTAACTTTTAAAACAATATTAAAAAGAAGTGAATTTTTATATACAAATACAACTTCAAATACTTATAGGAAACAGGTAATATACATTCAAAAATATTCAACATACAAAAAGGAGGAAAGGCCATGGAAATTTTGTTAAAATGAATTTAAAATATATCCATATCTACAGGATCAAATGAAAGGCATCAGCTAGTATGTTTGCTTATTTTCTCATTGGTCTACTTCATTTTACATTCTGATTCCCTCCAACAATTAAAGTTAGGCCATGCTGGTGATAGATCACATACTGTGCCTTATACATTTTACTTTAAGATGTAAGTTTAAATAAGAAAGGAAACAGGACTGGAAAGCTGTTTCAATGTCTAAGAGTACCGGGTACTAAGCGTATTGCAATCTCTGTAGTATATGTTCTCATTTATATTCCTCAAAATATATAAGATGCAAAGTCAATTTAGTGTGGCATAGAGTTATCATTTTGGTTACATGAGAACAATCTCTTCAAATCCAAACATGCCCATTTACTATAACCACTGGCCCCATGTGGAGCTGCAACTAGAACTCCAGCCTTGTCATACCCTCAACTCCAATGTGATACTTGCCTCATTGGAACATTATTTATCTATAGACAATGTTACTACTTTATTGAGATAACTACATTTGTTGTCGAAATAACATTAATAATAAATTTCAGTTCATTTGACTGTTACTTTTGAGAAAACCTGTTCTAGAACATAAATTTCACCAACTAAAGTTTTTTTATTTTGAATTAATCAAATGCTTTATTGAATTTTAGTTATTCCTGACAGTCACATTAAAGTTAACTACAAAATACTACAAAAAGTACTATTTAAAGATAAAGGACAGAATTTCAAAAACTCAAATCATGTTGTTGTTTTATTGGGTTCAAGAGCACAAGAAAATCTTCTGTAACTTAAGATCACAAATCTAGTTACTGAAACTAAAGAAAGTAGTTTCTGAAAGAGAAACTTTAGTTTTTTAATAGATAAACCTTTCATACTTTTTGTATCTCAGTAAGTAATATGGGAATAAATAGAAAATTAGAAATAATCTCAAAAACCATGAGGAACCCTCTAATTTCCTAAAAGAAATACAGTACATACCTTTTAAAGTAACAGTGAATGTCTTATAGCTCATTTGTGGAGTATATTGTTTTTTGAACATTTATTAGCTGCTACAGGATTTTACCCAGGAACAAAACAAAACAAAAATCTACCTAATCTTTAACTGCATTCCTACAACACCAACAAAACAGTGGCATACATGAAAAGAAGCCAAATGTGGTTTTTAACCTCTTTTTTCATAAAAACCATAAAAAGCATAAAAGCTGGATTAACTGCCTTCTGAACCCACATTTCACCAGCCGGGTTCTCATCCCCAGCTGGCAAAACTGGCAATCCTTTATTTTTGTTTAAATACCTGGTTTTCAGCCAGAAGGGTAGGAGTACATAAAGAGAGGCTTTTCATTTTGCAGAGAAATAGTAACTAAAAACCAAAATTGCATTATAAGAAAATCTATTTTATGAAACAAAATAATTTTAGTTAGCTTTGTAAAATAAGCACTGATTTTTAATATAAGTGGTTTTGTGTTTCTCACAGATGGATCTTCACAGACATACAAATATATGGTGATGTAACTGGAAATGTCTGCTGTATCTTTTTGTGGTCAACCATACTGATGTAATACATTGTGTCACTGACATGTACACTTCACTATTGCTGAGAACACACCCTAAAACTCAGCCACACTCTTAAGAGGCTTTGCTATCAACTACATAAAGAAAGATTTTGTGTAACTTATGAGGTACTATGTTCAAGAAATAGAAATAAAAATGACTTGCATTCAACACACATAAACACATAATGTGAAACATGTTCCACTGTTCATATATTTTCTATCTTAAATAGAATGCTTTTAAATCACAATTCTGTGAAATGCTCTCAAATTTCAAAATCAAATTATTCCAAATATGTTTTCTGCATTACTTTTGAAAGAAATTTTTCTTTTCTTACTCAGTGTACTTCTTTTTCTATAATTCTAGTAGCATACAAAATTTGTACTTTTTAACATAAACTGTTTAAAATCTGGTTTCTTCTAATGACAACTTTTCCAGAGCAAACCATCTCATCGATTTCATGGTCACTGTGAAGCTGAAAAGGATATCAAAGTCTAAAGGTATAATAATAATAGGCAAATTTACTTCAACCTTATTCAACTTACTCTCTCATCCTATTAGGCTGTAACTGCAGATTAGAACATACTCTGATAGGAATAAATCAGTAAAAGACCGACATTGAAAATTACCTAAGTGTTCTCTTAACTTAAAATGACACAGACTTTTACCCAATATTGCAAATGCAAGCAGAGCTGCAGACATCTAGTGATGCCTTCAATCCTAACCTTTGTAATCTCAGATATAGCCTGTCCATTCAACACAATCCCTAGACAAGACAATCACAAAGACAAGAGACAAAGAAAATATACTACAAGAAAATTGTATTTCAATAAGCGCAGAGAGCCCGCATCTAAAGTCAACACCAACTCCAGGAAATAGGCTGAGTTTCAATTTCTTAACTAGAACCCAGAAACTGCTTTAGTCTCACACATAATAAGCAGGTTATAGCAGACATCAATTAACATCAAACATTCGGTAATATCTCATAAAAATACTTGTACTTATTTAAAAAACTGGTAAAAACAAAAAACAATATTCAATCCACAAATAAGCTCTTAAACAGTTACTAATTTTTAACGATAACATTAATTGCTGTGTATTTCAAAATGACACCATCAATTAAATGTTTCCAGTATCAACATAATAGGCATTTTCAAAAACATTTCATCCCAGTATTATTTTACCAATCAGGATTTACTGGAAGAGTAAAGGGAGACCTTTCTCAGTTTGCTAGTCAGGCCAAACAATGCACCCAAGGCTAGTAATTATAAGGAGGCGATGTATGCCCTGGAGTGGCTTGCTGCTCAATCAATAATCCTGACAGAACAGATGGGAGAAAATCAAACATCTAAACAAACTGTCTACACACCTATGTTGTGAAAGTAAACTGTGAACTTGGGTGAACCAATTTACCACTTTTTCAAATTTATTTTCTGGTAACCTCACTTTTCAGGTAACTGATATGTATGTTATATAGAAACATACATTTATTCTTATCATTTATGAAGGTTATTTCATGGAATTTGATAAAACTGACAAGTTTTCTTATTCAGACTTTAAAAGACTGCAGTTTCAAGAAAGTATATAATTCATAAAAATTATGAGTTCCATGGCTTGTCAAAATTTTTCATATTGCTAGTTTATATAACATTTTATTTTATATTAGGTATACAATTGTTCTGATTCTTAAGATACAGCATCTTTAGATGTCATTTTCTATTTATTCTAAGTTTTATGTGTTCTGTTACCTCCTTGCACACACAAATGACTGAATGCAGCTAATGCCACAATTTCAAAAGCAAACCAAAGTCAGAACAGGAAAATCCCTTAAGGCAAAAGCTAAGTGAATGTAGTAATTAAATCATGCATGGATTATGTCTTCTGATAGTTCTCTAGACTGCCTTTTTATCACAAAGCGATCACATGAATGAATTCTAAGAAACTGAGTCCTGTAAGTCAAGGTAAAATAGGCATCATCAGTGTTCCCACTTAAGGTTACTGGTTTTTTTTTTATATTCTCGGAATTCAGAATTTACAGTTAAACTCTGTGCTTCAACTAAAATTTTACCTAATAGACTAATTCATCACATTAAAGAGAAGTTTACATGAAATGCAGCTAGCATAAGAATAACTTCTAAATTCATACATGGCACTAGTTGTAAAAGTTTGAAAAACATTTCCTGTATTTTACTTCCAGTTTAAACAATATTCACTTACCAGACAAACTAGGATAACTGTTAATGTTACCCATAGTAGGACATGGTACAGAAATAAATTATCTCAAGTGATAAGCCAACTCATCTGATAAAGGTTCTTAGATAGGAATTCTAACTATGAAGCAGACAACAACCAGAACTAATTACTGTGCCCCTAATGGGACTTAAACTTACTTTATTTCCCTGTAATACTGGGGATATCTTGCCAGAAGGAGGAAGGTTTCTAAGTCCCTCCCAGGGACAGGTGTTGGAAAAATTGTTCATAATAAATAAAATATCCACATTCAAGACAATGGTAGCTAAAAAGCTTCTCTTCACAAAGCTTAGAGGTCTAAGACTAACTTCATACTTTGTAGGGACACAGCAGAATCTTACTCAAGGGATACATCATTTTGAACATCATTTTGCCTGCAGATTAGAGATGCAAGCACATGTAACTGGTTACACTCATTTTTCAGTATGAGCTCCTAAAGACAACACTGAAAGAGTCTACCGGATGTTATCCTCACATTTAATTCTCATCCATCAAAAATTTATCAAGTGTATTTCTATCTGCTCCCTTTACTTACAGTACCTCACATTCATCCATAATTCTGCTTACTTCTTAGGAAATTAATGTATATTTCTGATTTTAAATATTCATACAGTTAATTTTCAATTGTACTGATTTGTCACAATAAAACAGATTTCTTTTCCTGAAATTATCAATATTCAGATGCATTTCAGATACTTTAATACTTTATATCAGATATGAAATATAGATATCAAATAATATACAGAATTATAATACACAAATGCTTTAGAAATGGGCTCTGAAAACTAAGAAGAGTGAATTAAAGACTGCATTTTTAGTCACTGGAAGAAAAACAAGCACTTTTTGCACTTAGAT